ATATATATATATGCATGTATATATATATATATACACACATAATACATGCATGCAAATAAATTCAGAAAATCAGCAGCTTTGCAGTTGTTACTTGGGGAAAAAATACAACCTATACCAATCAGGTAATTCCATTTTTTGGCATGATGACTATTAGCCATCAATTCATTCTTACTGAATCAAATGACCATGTAATTTCACAGGAGTCAGAGAAGAGGAGGAGAATTGAAGAAGCATACAAAAATGCTGTGACAGAACTGAAGAAAAAGTCCCACTTTGGAGGGCCAGACTATGAGGTACAAAGCCTGCTTTTGCAATTTTTAAAAATGCTGGGACTTGTAAAGATTGGTTTGTTTTCTCAGAGAGGGCTGAAGGGTGTGTAAATCAAGGTGTTTGGCTTGTGCAGGTGAGTTCATGCTACTTCTGGTTTTCCACCTTGGAACAGAAACTGTATGAAGAATATCAGTACTTAATATTTTGAAAATGAAGTCTGTCTTTACCTCAGGCTTCTATGTTTTGCTTTTGTCTGAAGCATGTTGCTCGCAGATATTTCTGCTGATTTTTTTTTTTTACTATTTTTTCTTGTATATTTGAGATGTACAAACATATATGCACTAGATTTGTACTTTTTCTTTTTGATGGTTCAGCTGTATAGATGCATAAAGCTGCACAGGCAGTTCTAGAATCTGAAGTTTAACTTCAGTTGATTTTTAATTTACCAATTGAAATTTTATGTCGACATATCCAGTAATTTTTACATTCCTTTCATCTGTTAAATTGCATATTTCAGGAGCTTACTCTGCAGTGAGGTATTCAGTCAAATTCTAAGACACTTAAACCACATTCTGAAGAATAAGCTCATTCTGAAGAATAATATAAGCAAACATATAATGCAGTTTGTGTAATTTTTAAGAACTTGAGCATTTAATGTACATTAAATGTGTTTCTATTTACAAACCATAGCCTGAGAAATACTATTAATACATTGAGATATTTAGAGGATACTTGAGCTTGGGTTTTCTGTTGTGACTGAGGCATACACTGTAAAATAAGAAAAAAAAAAAAACAAAACAAAAAACCAAATAAACCCAGATTGGAAGCTGGACTTTGGCTCCCTGGTTATGGATGCAGCTGCTTCTTCCAGGTATCTATGTTGTAGTTTTTTTGAAATTTGCTGGATCGGCTTGTTTTACAATACAGTGAAAGCAGTAAACCTAATTCTCTGAAATTAACATTTTACTGCATAGACCTGAGTTTTTAATAATTGGCTCATCTAGACCCGCTATTTAGTGATAAACCATTTTTTCCATGAATTTTCAATAGAGATCTCAGAATTTTCTCTTTTCTTGTTATGTTTTGAGCATGTATCTGAAATCTGCCCTAAGGCACTGGAATTCTTGTAAGGAGTCTAACTACACAATTATGTTAATGTGTACTTGACACACAAGAAATAGTTTTAAGAGAAGATACATGTTAATTAAAGCCTAAATCTGCCCTCAAAGCATATTGACATTGTTACTCAGTTTCCTGGTTTTTTTACTCCTTTATACAACTATCTCTCAGTTGTAGTTGGAGGAAGTAACTTCTTTTAACAAGTAGGGTTTTCAGAGGAACTATAATCTGAGAAATTTACTTGAGGTCTATAGAAGAAATTTGCTTCCAACAGCCATATGCATAACATGTAAATATGTATTTCTAATATTAAAGGGAAATGGAACACTCATGTCTCCAGAATTTTGAACTAGTTTTGGTTTTTGTGCTCTAGGAAGGTCCTAATAGTCTGATTAATGAAGAAGAGTTCTTTGATGCTGTTGAAGCTGCTCTCGACAGACAGGATAAAATGGAAGAACAGGTATTGATACTTGAAAAATGTCTTAATGATGGGTGTTTGTGGGAGATTTCCGCGACTTTAACTCGGTCTTGGGTGTGCATCTCCTGAAGCTCTAGATATTTTATTCTGACATTGATAAGGGGAATTCACTTAATATTTTTACAATTAAATACTGTTGATTAACACTAATTTTGAGAAAGTGACTTCACGGCTTACAGAGAGAATTGTAGGGTAAGTGTTAACTAACTGAATGTCTCTAGTTCCTAATTCCTAAGTAAGCGTCCTGTATAAACTTACCTTTGTGTGTAACTGGTGCCCTGATTAGGGAGGAATATCAAACAGTGCAGCTGTTTCTCAAAACTTAGTTTTTGGTCTAAAGTTTCTTTTGACTGTTGCAGTATATGAAATGGCAAAGGCGTAGTTCTGTTGGTGTTTGGGTTTTGTTTTAAAATTCTGTAGGTTCTGGCTACTTCTTAACTCATTTCCTCAATACACTTCAGTGACAAGGATCAAAAAGGGACAAGACTATGAGAAAGTATGGCAGTATATAAATGAGAGGGAATAACAAAGTAGGGCATCCTTTGTCTTAAAAGTGTTTAGGTTTATAAATACAGTGAATACAATGACTTGGTTAAGAATTAAAAGACTTTTTAATGGAGATATATATGGTACCAACCAGTTTACCTGTGTTGTGGTCTCTGAACAGAGAGTACAAGTTTTGAGTGACTGTTGTGCTGGTACTTAATGGATCCTTAATGCTGCCAATCTATTTTCCTTAACTCTGAAGTCCTCCTTGAAGTTATAGACAAATTCAGTCTTTACTCCCATTCACTAACTGAGAATTCCAATAGAATGACAGCTTCATGCCTGTCACAGCCAGCATTAGTTGTTGTAGCCGGTATGTAAATAGGTTGAGGATGACTCACTCTATTTCTTAGTCCTTCCAGTAGCAGGTGACTACTAATAATTAAATGTATTCTGTTGCAGTCCCAAAGTGAAAAGGTTAGATTACACTGGCCAACATCCTTACCTTCTGGAGATGCATATTCTGCTGTGGGGACTCATCGATTTGTTCAAACGGTAAGGTATTTCTCATGATCTCCTGATATAACCTATGATATTTCTATATAATATTTTACATGGGTAGGTGAGATCTTTTTTTAAAAGTGTTTCTAGTAACTGTCAATGATTTACTTATTTTTCAAATGGAGTAGCCAGAACTGGAGAAGGACTGTTTTCTGTCTCTGCTCAAAAAAATGCTGATTTGAGTATCTAGAATACTCTTGACTTGTATCAAGCTTGTCAGATAATAAAGTAAAAAGTTCCAACTTGTTAACCTCAGTACTTTCAAGATACCTTCACCAAAGCTCATTGAATTGATTTTGTGAAGAAAAAAAAAAATCCAGTTGCTTTTTTTTTCTAGTGTTACTGGAAACACTATGCTCCTCTCAGGGCTACACTGGGAGCATAATAGATAATAGGTGCATGAAATCAGCATTTGCTGCTGTGCTTGCTGCTTTTGTGTTCCTTTTCTTCATTATCTTGTGCTTGCAAGTTGGTACTGAATGCTCTGTTGTGCCTTTGTTCTGATTACTTGGTTTTTTCTTTGTCTGTCTCTGGTAGCCCTATAGTCGCTCTTCCTCCATGTCTTCCATTGATCTAGTCAGTGCCTCTGATGATGTTCACAGATTCAGCGCCCAGGTACTGTATTAATATGTTGAGTGGGGGTTGCATATCTCTGCGGTATTTCATCCTCTTCTCTAGAACCTGGGTTTTTTGTTACATAAATCACTGCTCGCTTTAAACTAGTATGCTGAGACAAACAAAGGAATTCTCTATTCCTGTACTAAATGGTTGTCCTTTCACATCCAGCTTGCATGCATATCAACTTGTGCAGTGGCCCCAATCTTGTGAAACTGTTGGATTTAAATAGCTTTTAAAATGCCTTCAACTTGAAAATTTTGCATTTCTGATTATAATAGAAGTAGAATATCACCTGCTTTGCGTGGGATGGAGATGGTCTTTGCTACAAATGGAATAGTTTTTCTTGCTTTTTAAATCAAAGGTTTGGTTTTGTATTTAACTTCTGTTTGTAGTGACATTAATGTACTAAATGTTAAGGTTCACTATGACCATTTTTTACCTCTACAACTAGTTCTATTACTGAAAGCTCGTAAAGTATGTTGATAAACAAGATTGTGGATATAAGAATTTTTACTGAAGAATTTCAGTATATTTATTCATCATTCTGAAAATTACTCTGACATCTTGAATGTGTCAGTGTAGTCATAGAGACATATTCCAGTAATATACAAAATTACTCTAGGTGCTTGCTCTGAAGGTTGTAGTTTGGTGTAGAATTAGGTAGGTGAGGTCATATAGTTGCTTTTAGTCTCAAAAAGTTTTTCAGACATGGCATTCATGCCATTAGGTTTCTTTTTCCTGCTGTGGTCTATGTGTGATTCTGAGTATGGAGCTTTCTTCTGGGATCTGTTATTCTGGACTTTTTTAGAAATTATTAACGAATGCTGCAAACAACCTGCTTTTTTGAATAGAAGGAATGGATATTCTTTTGTTTAACAGAGTACTTTCCGACTGTACTACCTGCTTTATGAGCAGGACCCTATCAGTTAAGGACTTGATTATCGGACTGAAATCCCAACACTTGCATTGACCATTTGCGGTCAATATCTGAAATTTTAACTTATCACAAGGGAAAAAAATTGAAGGTCATGTAGCATAACACTGATAGGCTCCTCTACCAGTAGTCAAGTTAGTTTTTCAAATTTCTTTTTGTTCTGGAGGGAGGGAATCAAGTAAGAGAAAGCAAGTTTGATTCTAAACACAGGAGCTGCTAGTGGTAGGAAAAGGGGTAATGGCTTAAACAGGGGAAGTTTAGATTAGATACAAGGAAGAAGTTCTTCACAGTGAGGGTGGTGAGGCACTGGAATGGGTTGCCCAAGGAAGTTGTGTATGCTCCAACCCTGGCAGTATTCAAGGCCAGGTTGGACAGAGCCTTGGGCGACACAGTTTAGTGTGTGGTGTCCCTGCTCATGGCAGGGGGGTTGGAACTAGATGATCTTAAGGTCCTTTCCAATCCTAATTATTCTATGACTCTATGATACTATGGTTGTCTGTCAGGCTGTGAATACATGGGCAGTTCAATATAAGGGAAACTCCTAGCTGCTAAAGCATGCAGGCCTCCTCATTTTCATCTTTTATGCCTGTGACAACATTTGTACATTCAAACCTGAGTTCCAGAGCACTAGTGTGCCTGAAAAACTAACAACTTAAGTCTTATGTGGATCAGGTCCTTATCACAATAATGCAAAGAGAGGTTAAGAATCAGGATCAAATGGACTGGAGTCAAGTTGTTGCTCTTTTCAGCTGCTGCATGGATTATACTACATAGAAGTTACTACTGAGTGCCTTCACATGCAGTTTCAAGTTAATGGACTTACTGCAGAAAGGATGATCATCTTAACTTATAGGAAGCTACTCTCCCACAGCCCACCACCCCAAATGTTTTCCCTAGAACAAATTTTTGCCAGACTGACTGATAATGTTTCCTTCTGTGGAGAAGTTTATAGTTAAAATAAGAGAAACCAGAATTTCCATCCAATGGATTTTATTTTGATGTTGTACTTTTAGGGTTTTGACTTGATTCATTACTTTTTTTTCTTCCTGGTTTTGAGTGTGTTGCCCAATGTGTATATAGTACAGACAAAATAGCACGATTTAAATTAAATAACACATTTCAACTGTTTCATGTCAGATAAAGATGATTAAGTATTCTTTAGTTTTGCTTTCTACTTGTACTACTTGCTTAAATATGTTTTATAGGTTATTTTATAAATACACTAGGCTTCATATTTTTTAAGTTGTGCAAAGCCATTTATGAGTTCAGACTGTTAATCTTGTGATTGTGCACTACTTAAGCTAATCTATGTTGCTCAATTAGCTAACCTTTTGCTTGTAGTGCTTTTCTTTTTGAGGTAAAAAACCCCACAACTATTTCTAGTAATTCAGGAAAATAGCATCAATCACATGGACTTACTTGCTGTGACAAGTAGTCATCTACTTTTTGGGTGGAAAAAAATTACTGAAGTGGTTCCAGTACTTGTAAACATGACAACAGATTCTTTTTATTTTTGCTTCTATTTTTATTTGCAGGTGAGTAGGATTTGGAAGGGATGGGGAACCAAAGAAACAGAACAAGATTGTTTATTTAAAATAAAAATCCATTTCCTGTTCCAGCACCCATTTTCATGCACATTCCATGGAACAAAAAAAAGAAAAAAGAAAAAAAAGAGGTATTTGCAGACATAGCAGCCTCCCAGTACCTAAAGGGGGCCTCCAAGAAATCTGGAGAGGGACTTTTTACAGGGGCATGTAGTGACAGGACAACGGGGAATGGCTTTAAACTGAAAGAGAATAGATTTAAATTAGATATTAGGAAAAAATTCTTCACTATGAGAGTGGTGAGACACTGGCACAGGTTGCCCAGAGAAGCTGTGGCTGCCCCATGCCTGACAGTGCTCAAGGCCAGGCTGGACAGGGCTTGGAGCAACTTAGTGTAGTGAAAGATGTCCCTGCCCATGGCAGGGGTTTGGAACTAGGTCCCTTCTAACCCAAACCTTTCTATGATTGATAAAGTTGTACCAAATATTTGGCCTTTATGAAAAGCACATGAGAGCCTAGATGAATAATTTTAAAATTAGTATTTTATAAGAGTAGCGTCTCTGAACAAATCTTCTGAATGTAAGCATTTTGGTTCTTTTTCTAGGAGGCAACTGTGCAAAAATGTCAATGAAACAGAATAGGCATGCTTTGCTCATGACTGTTTCTTTCAATGCTATTCCAGTATGAGTTTTGATATTCACTCACTTCTTAGAGCTTGACTGTTTTTGTCCCTCTTCCTCCCAACCTTTGTTAAGCTTTTTAAATGCTCTTCAGTTAATATCTTACAGTGCATTGTAATTCTGTGTAGAAATACCTGAAGTAAGTTCCTATATGCTAAAATAAAACTGTCTTAGATAGAAATAGTGAGCTTTGACAGTTTATAGAGGTTGAAAGAAAGGATAGGAAGTACCTGAAAAGGATGGAGGTGGAAGTAGAATCACAATTTTTGCTTCTTTTTCTGAAAGCCAGAGGTACCTGCTTGTTCTCAACCTGTAATAGAAAGCTGTGTTGTCCAAATTCAGCTCCTGCACAGGATTTGAAGTACTGACTTCTGGCTTCGAGTACTGTACAGTCTCTGCCCAAGGAGATGGAAGGAACGAGTTAAAAATGTGGTGTTTTGTTTGGTTTTTTTTCTCCTTTAAAGGTGGAAGAGATGGTACAAAACCATATGACATATTCCTTGCAAGATGTAGGAGGAGATGCCAATTGGCAACTAGTGGTAGAAGAAGGAGAAATGAAGGTAAATATTTGGGATTTTGCTTAATTGATATAAGATGATATGCTGTGAAGACAGGTACTTTCAGTCTGGTGAACTTGATAGTGTTAGGTTTATGTTTAGACTTAATGATCTTAAGGGTCTTGTCCAGCTTAGTTGATTCTATGATTCTCTGGGAATACTGTCACTCAGCAAGTTACACTGTTAAAGCTTCTGAGAATAGGATTGTTTATTCTGGGGTGGAGTCCACAAGAGTTGTGGCTTCTACTATATTTATTCATACAAAATCGTATGTAACTCTTGCAATAGCTTTGTCTTTGCAGATTCCTTTCTCATTATTTCCTACTTAAAACTTGTTATCAAAATAATGTGTAAATTTGACATATGAAAATGTTAGAGAAGCAAGTTACTGTGTTGGCTGCTCTACTCTGCTTGCGTGGATTCTTGTCCATAGTGATAGTTAAGGTAGCTTAATTATTCTTAGAGTAGAGATTCTTAAAATACTGACGTGAATTGCCATGAAAGGATGTCTGCATTGGTACTTTCCAGAGAACACTGATACAGCAAATTATTCATGTGTTAGTCTTGTAGGTAAGTGGGTGGTTTGATGTTTTTGGTTGTTTTGTTTTTAATGATATTTAAAAAAAAATTCAAGCATTACAGTTTTGACAATTTCTGTTCTGCATTTCTTTCTTTGCATTTGGTTATAGGTATACAGAAGAGAAGTGGAAGAGAATGGAATAGTTTTAGATCCTTTGAAAGCAACCCATGCTGTTAAAGGGGTAACAGGGCATGAAGTCTGCCACTACTTCTGGAACGTTGATGTTCGTAATGACTGGGAAAGTAAGGAATTGGTTCTTAAGCCTTGTGTGTTTGTTGGCAAGGATGTTGCCTATAACACTGACCTAATGTGTGTACTTGATTTCTCTCTCCTCCCCTTCCTTTTTCAGCAACAATTGAAAACTTCCATGTTGTGGAAAATTTAGCTGATAATGCAATCATCATTTACCAGACACATAAGGTAATAACACTTAAGTTTTATATGTTCTAATCTTATTCTGAATATTTTAACGGCTTAAATAAAATACTGTTCAGAAACAACATTTCAGAGCAAGTTCTGTATTAAACTGCAGCTTTGTCAAATAGCATAATGGGTTGTATGTGTGTCTGATAGAACTTGTAATAACAAATGAGCACTGTTTTTAATGTATCGCTGCCAGTAAGGCAAGAGCCTTCTAAAGGAAATTGAAGCAATTAATGAACACTGACCTACAAAGAAGAAACCTATACCATTGCATGGTGTGCTTTTTTTTTTTAATAATAACGCAAGCTATTGTTGACCACAGTTAGTTGACGTACACATTTGCGTTATGAGGTGGTATAATTGCTGGTACAACATTTGTTCTCATAACTTCATTATGTCTTGTGTGTGTGATCCGCGCCTCACCCCCTACCTGTTCTAGTATAAATTTGCTAAAATGTTCATTTGAGTTATAACACAACAACTATAACTTAAATATTTATAAGTATGTTCAAAAAGTGTTCAGAATTGTTCTACCATGCATGCTTCCAGTATAAAACCAAATATTTTTCTTTGTGAATTTTACCAATGCAGTTACCTTAAAACATTTCTCTGATTTTTGAGTGAGACAGTTGTGTAAACTATACAGTCCTGTAGTTAAAGCTAAGCTTTTCCCCCCTATTGAGTGTCAGGAAAATGGTTTCTGTATATTTTGTTACCAGACATTTTCATTTCTGAAACTTTCTCTTAGATAGTATCAGTTTACCATATGTGTCTTACTGAAGTAATAGCTTTCTGAAATAATACTTGTTTTAAATAGGTGTCTCCTTCTTTCTCTCTCTGGAGAGTATCTGTAGATGCATCTATTTATACTTCACAGTAGTTCAGTTTGTAGCTTACAAGTATTAACTTAAAATGTAAGCCTGACTTTGAGGGAACAGGAGAAGAGCTGCTTCTTCCTGTTTGTCTACTGAAAAAGTAATTCCAGCTTGGTTTTCTGCATTTCAAAGGCCTTAAATTTATTTTTTTTTTTTTAATGAAATGGTCAGATAACCTGATATGCAGCTGTGTAACAACTATGTTCTCTTACAGTACTAACTTGAAGAAACTTTTACTTAAATAACATGACTGACCTGTTTTGCCTTGCCTGCTTTTAACTTTATCTAAGGGTAGTAAGTACTTAATTTGCAAAACTGGAAAAGCTTATATTCATGTGTTTCTCTGCAGAGGGTGTGGCCAGCTTCTCAAAGGGATGTGCTGTATTTGTCTGCCATCAGAAAGATACCAGCATTTAGTGAAAATGATCCTGAAACCTGGATTGTGTGCAATTTCTCTGTAGAACATGACAGTGCTCCTGTAAGTACTTATTTTCATGCTGTCAAGGTCTACTATTACGATAACATTTTCTATTATTTGGTGATGCATGTGCAATACTGGGGGGGTGGATATGCAAAAATTCAGTTTGTTTAAACAGGTCATACAATGACCTTACGAAAGCATTCTGAGCCAAAAGCTTTCTTGCCTTATCTCAAGAGTTGGCAGATCTAAGGTGCTGTAGTGGAATGGAAGCAAAATTTCTGGAGATGTGAGAACACTTTAAAGAATTGGGGTTATATTGTATGGAATCAAATCAATAACTCTTCAGTATTGTCAGATACAGGAGTAGGCTCGTAAAATTGTGATATGGAATCTGTTAAATCTCCCATCTTAGGCAGGTCTGCCTTGGTCCTGTGAGATAGTAGCAATGATGGTTTTCTTTGGAGTATTTCTGTGCTGATTGCTATGTCACAGCCCGTTTACAAGGGAAAAGTTACTAACTGATATTTGTGAATACTGGTGCATTATTCTTCAAATGTTTCTTTACTCATTTGTCAGAGTAATTGAAGTAATTCACTTGTAATACGTATTAAGCAAACATGAGGTTCAGGCATTTTGGTTAAGCCCTTTCCCTATTTACCATGTGTCTTTCATTTCACTAGCATTCATATTACATCCACGTAGTGCTAGAATGCAAACTATCAGAAACACAGCTTCTGGAGTGTCTTAGCCTTTACAGTAAATTAAAATCTTAGCAGTCAAGTGTGCTGAAACAAATTCGATTTGATGTTTACAAATGTTTCTTCCTTTTCTTTTTTTTTTTTTTTTTTTTTTTTTTTTTTTGGTAGCTGAATAATCGCTGTGTCCGTGCCAAAATCAATATTGCTATGATTTGTCAGACATTAGTAAGCCCACCAGAGGGGAACAAGGAAATAAGCAGGGACAACATCCTATGCAAGATTACATATGTAGCTAATGGTAAGCCTAGCATTTTTCATTATGACATGCATGATCTAATTCTGGGAAACTGAATACTGACAAAAAAGTTTGATGCAGTTTTCTGTTAAATTTATATATAGCATCACACTTCTGGTCTTCATGTTCAGAAAGACTTGAATTAATGTGCTACATGAATCAGTGAATGGGATCATTCATTGTGTGGCATTCTAGGAGGAATAAATGGAAGTTGTGTAACTTAGTCCTAAGTACAGAACCTTGGGTGGAGGAGGGTGGGCAGAAGAAATGTCTACAACTAGGGTGACTTTGGCATAGCTTTTACTTACAGTAATAGTATGTTTTTTCATGTATTGCTGTATTCCTCCTGATTCATCTTGCCAGGCTGAGAAGCTGCTGATAGCAAATACGCAGTTCTTACCCTTTGTGTTAAGAAGGAGCAAATACGTTTTGCATGAGGATGTTTACAAGGTGTTACCAGTTTAAGCCCAGACTGTAACTCAGCACAATGCTGAGTGAGCTGCTCGCTCACTGCTCCCTTTATTGTTGCACACTCCTGGTAGGATGGGGAGGAGAATTGAAAGGTGTAAACCCTACAGGTTGAGATGAGACCAGTCCAATAACTAAAGTATAATACAAAACCACTACTACTACCACTACTAATAATAATGATAAAGGAAACAACATGAGGAGAGAATATAAAACTAAAAAGGAAAGAGAAAAATAAACAACAATAAACACAAGTGATGCACAATACAGTTGCTCACCACCCGCCAAATGATACCCAGCCCAACCTAAGCAGAGTCTGGCCTTCTGGGTGACTCCCCCCAGTTTCTATACTGGGCATGACGTGCTGTGTATGGAATACCCTTTTGGCTAGTTTGGGTCAGGTGTCCTGTCTCTGCTCAATCCTGGCTTCCCATGCCCCTCCTCACTGGCAGGGCATGAGAGACTGAAAGGTCCTTGATCAGAGTAAGGATTACCTAGCAACAACTAAAACATTGGTGTGTTATCAGTGTTGTTCTCAGACTAAAGCCAAAACACAGCACTGCACCCGCTACTAGGAAGGACAGCTGAACCCAGGTCAGCTGTATAGTCTACTTTTTTAGCTGATAGAATCCTTAGTATTGACTGAAAAGTTATCCAAGCCAAACTGTATTGTTACTGTACCCAGTATTTAGCAGTATATTGTAGTACTGGAGCTACACACTTGTTAGCTCCTCTCCTGCAGCTACAAAACGCTTGAAGAGTAGCTCACATACTTAGTACTTTTAACCACCTATTACCTGGCATGCTAAAGAGTCAGTGCCTGAAAAATCAGTAAATCTTTGCCATATAGGGGTGATGTAATTCATATTAAACTCTGTACAAATAATACCACATGGTTTTAAACCCTGGGGTAAGCTGCTTTTTTTTCCTATTTAGAAGTTTCCTAATTACTTAAAAAAAAATACACTTTCATTGATAAATTCTGAACTGTGATTATATGGAAAGTAGCTGCTTTTTCAGCAAAATACTTGCCCTATGAAGTGAAGCATATTTTAGAATCAGATTGAGTTTTGTTTAAAGTGCTTTAAAAATAATTTGTAAGATATTGGCTATGTGGTAGTTCTGCAGACAAATGCAGCACTTATTGAAAAATCAAGACTGACTTCTGTTTTCTTTGAAATAAAAAGTAACTTGAATCTCTTGTTCTCTGTTTCCAAGAAACATAAAATCATCTTCCATTTGGCATTCCCCAAAGACTCACATCATTTTTAATGTTTTCTGAATAGTGGCAACATAGTCTTGAATATTAAGAGTAGGAAGTGCTACAATACAAGCTTTAAGGCCGTAAAAAAAAGTCTGCTGATCATTCTTCTTTCCTGTTACTTCAGAAGGAGTTGCAGGAATAATGAACTTAAATTCTGTTTTCTAGACTTTAGTGGATTTGCTGTATTTCAGTGTCTGTCTTCCTATCTGCTTCTAGTGAATCCAGGAGGATGGGCGCCAGCATCAGTTTTACGGGCAGTGGCAAAACGAGAATATCCAAAATTCTTGAAGCGTTTTACATCCTATGTGCAGGAGAAAACAGCAGGAAAGCCTATTTTATTCTAGTGTTAGCAGGTATACATTTGTTTTCCTCATTCTTGATTCACTGTTGTAAATTTAAGGCCAAACAGAAGTATGCAATCTAGATTGTCTTGTCATAACTAGCATGAATTCACTGCTTAGTTTTAATATATGTGTGCAACATACATATACCTGATCTAGTTGAAGATGTCCCTGCTCATTGCAGGGGTGTTGAACTAGTTGACCTTTGAAGGTCCCTTCCAACCCAAACTATTTTATGATTCTGTGATTGTAATTATTTTTTTAAACATTCATGTAACTCGTGTATTATTAGTATACACCATAAGGGCTGCACAAGTTACGAAGTATTAGTTTTTGCAGACTTTTACTATTTGTCTTGCAAGTTTTTGTATCATGTCCAATTTATGTAGCCGTATAATGGATGAAGTATTGTTTTTTCTCAGCTGTCACAGACAATTTACAGTTCTGAAAAGAATACATACTGAAATTTCTCTAGAGCCTCATGAGATTGATATCTTAAATTTACTTTAAAATGTGTATATGATAAAGTATTATAAGGGTCAGAGTATTCTTTTATATTGACAGAATAGTTTTGATCTAGGATTTTTATTAATGGAATTTTACAGACAGACCAGTGTTGATTACTGGAGTATTTGAAAGGTTATGACTTAAATTTTTAGCCTTTCTGATGAGAAAGAAAAAGCATTTTCAGATACTTTTAAGTCAATGGATGTATTTTAATGGTATAGGTCTTTGGGCTAATCTAAAATGATTTTAACATTTAAATGTGGTATTACATTAGAAGAGGATTTCTTGATTGCTTTGGGGTCTATCTCAACCTGTCAGACATAAGCCTTAGTGCTAAATAAGGCTTTGCTTAATTTTTGTTAGTGTAGACTCTTAATGAAGTATATATCATGTTATTACTGTAGTCTTAAACTATCAAATTTCATTTGGTTGTTCTAGTATTACAGCATGATCTGAAAATGAATTTTTACCTCTTTCTATGCATGACATAGGCCACCTCTATTTTTGGTTCTATTTATTATGTCAGACTCTAAAAGCCTTAATCATCTGATTGCTTCTGTAACAGGTTGCCCTTTAATGATTGATGTTTTCAATTGTATATTGTTAGAGAACTAGTGTAGGTGAACCTTTAAAAATGCAACTGTTTTTAAAGCCAACATGAGCCATGAGTTCAAATGTGATTGTAGCAGCGCTGATGCTATTTAAGATGTTCAACAAGTTCTTGTTTTCCAATTAGTGTTCAAGTGTTTCAGTGCTGTGTTTTTGCCTTTGCCTACCTGCAGCGATTGGAACAAGACTGAGTGAGCATTCCACGTTGGAGAAGTGACCATGCATAGAGCACTCCATGCTGGAACGAAGGATCTACAGTCTTTTTATGGCCCAAGTTCTAGGCTTTATCTACTGAAGTGAAGAAGGTGTTGCAACACCATGAAGCTGAATATTTAACACTAGCTCTTTCCTGCTAACTTTTCTTGCTGAATCAGTGTGCAATTATAAATACATGTATTGATAACATGTATATGGCTCTATTTTGATTTGCTTGCTTTAGAAGAGGAAGAATGCATACAACTTTGAATCTCCAATGTGGGTTACTGCTTTAATTTTAAACAAGTTGCAGAATTTCACTGTCAACCTTCCTAAGATACTCACAGTTTTTGTGCATGTCTAAAAAGCACAAAAGGCAAATGCACATATAGCATACTGTATGTGCTTTATGTGCACAAAAATCTGTGTGGTATTTTGGGGGGGAGGGAGGGACTTCACTAAAGCCTAGGTGACTTATTAGTAAGTTTTGTTTTGCTTTGTATAATCACAGTTCATTGCTGCTGGTTTCTATACCAATCATCTTGTCACATAAAATGTCAGTTAATAACTGAGGGCTGTCAATATCCCTATGACTTTGCCTTTTCTATTGTCTTACTCTTATGACGATCTTTAGTTCTGAAGGAGTAAGAGTGTGAAAAGCTTTATTTTTTCCAGATATCTTTATATTTCTATTGTATTTTTTAGTTATGTAATATGTGCTACAGAATTTTTGTTATTAAACACAATGCAGAAATATCTAAGAAGATTCCCTATGAGATGGCAAGAGACTGCCTGAGAGATAGAAGTCATCTGTCCATGATGTATGTGGACTGCTTTCTTGCTGATACCCAGGGCTTTCCCAAAGCTGTGAGAAGGTACACTATAATATTTATTGAAGTAATTTGGACTACACAGGACAACATTCCCAGATTAGAATGAGGATGAGTACATTATTTTCAGATCCTGCATGTGTCCCCCTCATCTTAATAAAGCCATGCTTTGAGGTTCATGTAGAAAATTCTTTGCCTCTTGATCGAAACCCATCAGAGCTATAAGGATGCATAGTTCTTATCAGAAAGTTCCCTTTAGTTGCTGTGAGAATTTAAATGTCAGATATTTGCCTGCCTTTGATTCTGGAGATACTTACTAGCAGAGGACTATAGCAGACTGGTACTGACTTTGAGGTCTCTCATCTGTGTCCCATAGTTGGAAACTCTTTAGAGAGTGCTTGGCATTTCACTAACTGGTTTATCTTCAGAAAAAAGCTTCAGGTTTGGTTTTTTTTTCCCCAAAAGAAAGCTGAAAGTCTCATTTGAAATAGTATGGTAGGTGCCTGAAAATAAATACAATAAAAACTTAATGAAGATTGGTTAAAAGATTGTGATCTGCACAGTGTTCAGAAGCTTTGTTTATCTTCTGTGTAGAGAGGAAATCGTATATGATTACACATGCATGCAGATGATTACACATGCATGCAGATTTCATGCTCCGTAAGTCTTCCCTTTTTATTTGCCTTTCTTTAATGGTGTGCATGGAATATGCCTTATTACAGAGTTACTCTGTTAATTTGAATATGTAGAAAAGTGCCTATATGGTAATGCTAGTAAGGCAAATAAATAAGATGAAAATTTGTACATGTTTACTATATCATCAGTGAGCATTTTATATGGAGATGTAAAAAAAAAAAATCTTATACCTCAAACGTACTTCATCTTTTTACAATCAACCAAGCAATGGTACATTCCACCATAGCCACTGATGGGAACTTTAAAAAAACAAAACAAAAAATCAAAAATATAGAGAGTTTGACTCCTGATTTGCCATTTCTGGTAATTGTTGGAACATAGGATGGGCAAGTTATTAATTTAATTGGATAGCTTTATTTTACAAAGGTATGGAAAGTTTACAAAGTAGTATATAAATCTATATCATTAGTTGCATTTGCACTAAATGTGATGTACTTTTGCGATATAGCCTGTAAATAAAATTACACTACAGATACTATTTGTAAAGAATACATTTTGATTTTAGATAAAGGCACTGGTACTTCACTACAGCTAGCCCTGCCCAATCAGAATTGTAAGAGGCTTCTTAAAGGTTAGGGAAGGAGTTGCAAGACTGTGAAATTGGTACTAATTGAACTCTTTAAAAAACGAATTTAAAAAATGCAGTTCTCTGTAGGCCTTTCAGAGTCTTTGTGTGAGTAGCCATTAGACCCTTTATTCTGGAAGGGATCTTGCTTTCGTGGTTTTATACATTTGCACAGTCTCTTGAGCCCATCCATCTCTCTCTTCAGTCACTGCCACATATCTATGCACTCTTGAGTTCACTTCTTCCTGTTAGTGGATGGGTAGTATTCATAACAACTGTGGTGGTCTTTGCCGAAGCAGCTCCCAACTCTAGGATGGATGGTTTTATAAGCTGAACCAGTTTGAAGGGTTGAGCACACAGCAATCTTTTCTACATAAGATCTCATTCTCTGAATATCTGTGTCCATTCTGAGAAGTTGAACATTACCTAATTAGATATGAAGGAAATTATTTGTTTTGAGAATGAGGATGAGATGGCCATTGTTATCCTGTTTGAGAACCTGAACACCTTATTTTGACAAATTTATCTGTGAAAAATGTGATGCACTTTGGAAAAAAAAAGAATAATTACTGTTCACTTAATTGGGCTGAGCTGGCTTATCTGAAGTTGTGCAGATTCTCTTTAATTAGATTGTCCACCTGTATTTTTGTCAAGTTGTACAGATAATGCTGTATTTGAATTGCCACTGTTCATCTACAGATTTAAAACATGAATCATATTTTTGAGTACCTTGAGTGTGTAGAGTGTAACTGTTCTATAATAGCTCTATGATCCTAATGGTAAGTTTTAAAAATTAAAACAAGTTGGCTCTTCCATGTTACAATCACAAATTTAAAACCAGTATTTAAAAGTGAAAAGTATTAAAAATTATGAAGAAATACTCTGGTCTGTAGTTATTTTTAACTTCCAGTGCGTTGGAGAGACTGCTATAAAACACTTTCACATTTTAACTAACTCCTTAGATAATGGGTAGTGTTATATACAATATTATAATATATGGAAAGCATTTAACAGGAAAGCAGTTTTCTTGTATTACTGACGTTACAGAGATGAAAACTTGAATGCCACATCAGTTTATATATTAAAAAGCTTATTTTCTGCTAGCATGAGGCGCATGCTGAAAGATGTTTCTGTACAGTATAGTCTTGCTATAGAGCACTTCCAAAGTATTGCAGCTCTTGTCTTTTGTACAGAATTAACAACATCATGGAAGTTGCCATGGGAAGAATGGAGATCCAGGACTGAGGACTGCCAGAGAATAAACTTGTGGCTTTTTCCAAAGTATGAAGATTTTTTTTAACAGAGATGAGCTTCTGCAGAGCAAGTTTGCGTAATAGCAGAAATAGCTGGCACCTAATGGATCAATAACTATTCTAGCTTTATTTGTTATGCAGGGATTTCTACTTGTTACATAGCGATCAATAAAGTTGTAGAAACCTTACAAGTATGTAAGACAGGAGGAACAGTGTGAAATAACAGCGAAGGCAGTACTTGCACAGAAAGTGCAACTTGAGCTCAGCTGCATCAGGACCTGGGTAATACCTTACCACAAACACAGAACCCTGAGGTAAGGCCTGCCCTTTAAGAATGCAGCTATTTTAGCTGTGAAAAGGAAATAAAGAAAAAAAGGTAAAAATAGTCACATTCCTGGTCCCATAAGCTGTGCATGTAACTTAAAAAATACATACTTTCCAGAAAGGAGGGAGTGAGCATTTCTAAGCCGGCTGTGTACAGGCCTAGGTACAATGAATGATAATTACTTAGGGTTATGGTATGTAATTTACCAGTGTGTATTACTAGTAGTATTGCTATTATCTTTAGTCTGCAGCTATAAAGTCTAAGCTTCATAGCAGGAGAAAAGTGTGTTTTATTAGATAAAAGAAAGGGATAGACTTTGAGCATTAGCTGCCAGAAAGTGTCCATGTTTCCTCAGCTGTGACCAGTGATGCAGCAAGCTTTCTTTTTCCCTCTGCACACCTGCATGTTTTATGCATGGACAGTAGCTAGAGTAAGGAAGGCTGGTAATATGGGTTGCTGCAGTTTTTAAGTTTTAAACTAATTCTCCTTTAAAAGAACTATTTTAAATGATGGTTTTTTTAGAACTTAGACCAAGCAATTTTCAGACCTGTTGTCATCCTATGTGTAAAAACTTGAACTGGGAACTTACGTTCAGTCTCCTTTTCCTTGAGCTGGTCTGCCTGAAATTCCATGTGGGATTTTCTGCTCTTAACACAATTACATTAACATCAACACTCTGTGATTTGTTTGCCCCTCCACTTACAAACCTGGAATATCAATTGAGTTCCTTTCAGAAGCAGTAGGAATGACATGTGCATGCGTACTGGCAGTTTTCTGTGTCTTTTTGTATATGCAGGTTCCTACCCTTTGAAAAGCTGTCAGGCAATGATACACTGGATCATTTCCTGATCCACTGGACTTGTTTCTAAAATTTCTTGTTATGAGAGACAAGCACCAGATTGTGGAAGTCTGTGGCAAGCGACTCCTAACCAGTGTTACAGCAGCAGGATGTGACAACAGCTCTGAGGATTCCCACTTGGAAGGGTGGGACTGCAACTGAATCCCAGAGCAGCCTGGCACGCTCAGCTCCTGGGTACAGGCAGAGCCCTGGGACCTGCCCCTCACCCCTGGGAAGCTGTGCCCTTCACAGTATGCTGAAGAATTCCAACTTGGAGACCTGGGACAGTGCGCTGTCTGATGAGGGTACGTAACACCTGAGTATGAACAAAGGAATTGCAGGTGTGCCTGTACCCTCCAGAAATTATTTCCAGTCTAGGTCACAAGCACTCACAGAGGTCACCCACTGCTTGTACCCTGCTGGAAATCACCACTATGTATTCAAAATGATGGCATTCTCCAGACGGTGCTCGAGCACCCAGCTGTCCCCATGCCCTGTACGTAAAGCCTGCACCAGTGAAACACCTGAGACACTGCACCTGGTAAGTACGAACCCAGTTGTCACAGCTCATTGTGTCCAAACTGCCGTGTTGAAAATGTAGCTGTCTAAAGGCTTTTTTTGAACTTTTGGTGTGAGTGGTCTTTGCCTTCAGTTGTTAAATGGGAAGCTGTGTGGTGCTGAAGGGTGGCAGTGTCTCTGACAGAGGTTGGTATGTTTTAATAGTGGGTGGAACGGTTGCCTTCTATAAACAGCCTGGGAAATTTAAGTAGGCTTCTTTGTTGTTTTTCACCTTTTATTTTTCTTTTGTTTTAACTGTATTTGAAAACTCTAAAACCTAATTCAAGTATCATTAAAATACAGGGAGGGTAACTAACCAACCTAATATGAAAAGAGGTGTGCTAAACAAAATCATCACTAGTTCAATTAGCAGTTCTGTAATGCTCTTAATTGTTTAATGTGTCAATTTTCAATATGCCTGTCAGGTGTGAGAAGTCCAGTATTAAAAAGAATAGGTAATCTACTGCTTTTTCATTAACTAAGACTGCCATACTCAACTTCAGTGAAAAAGATGGAAGTATTAAAAGATTTGAAAACCTCTAGCAATTGTAAATACTGCTAAATTGTTTTCCAGTTCTAACACTGGTTGTATCACAAACAGTTTCACTATAATGTGTCATGTGTCCTAGCTGTTCCTGTTACATACGCTATTACTTCACTGTCCTGTTGTGAATATGTGTACACTCGCTGTTTGATATCGTGTAGTTCTTGGGTTTATGCTTGCATTAAACACCTCCTGCGCTAAGGATATTAACTTCATGTATTCCTTGAACAAAAAGCTTTAGATGACCAGGCAGAATACATAAATGGTCCTTCAAAATAAAATAAAAAAATAAAAACAAACAAAAAAAAGGCACTGCAGGATGTGGGTACACAGAAGGATGAACTAACATCTTGATGTTTCTGGATTGTTAGGCAATCTGCTTTCGAACAGGTATCTCCCCAACAAAGGAAGGAAAAATACCAATAATTACCATTTACTGATGTTTTGAATCGCACTAATTTAAACTGTCTGCTCTTGTTCGTATCCGCAAGTGAAGGAACAACACCCAGGAACTGCAGCTAACAAAGCTGACAGCTGGTCCTTTATTCCCCTCTCCCTGTTTCGATTTGCCCTCGAGGCTTTTTAGAAAAACAACCCTCCTCACGAACACTAACAAAACCAATGCCTTAACTGCCCTCCTTTCAATCACATTAGCCTTTTGGGGTCAATTTTTTCCAGATGCACTAGAGGTTTCAATTGCTCAGCAAAGTTCCTCATGTCATCAGAAACAATGTCCTGTCCCGCTGGCGCAACCACGTTGAGCTCCACCAGGTAGGAGAGGGAGAGCGGCTCGATGCTGTCTGTGTTTCCCGGCATGAGGATGCGGAAGATCTTGTACACCATGATCTTCATGATGCCCTTGCGGAACACGTGCCCCTTGGCCACGAACTCGTGGTCCATGCGGAAGCCCATCTCCACCAGGAAGTCCGTCAGGTTGTCCGAGGTGGCGATGTCCACGCAGTTGCGCACCAGTGCGTGGCGGTTCTTGTCGCCGATCTCCGGCTGGCCCAGGTACCGCAAGTGCCAGGGCATGCCGCTCTTGTCCATGGAGCGCCG